GAAGTGGATGTGAACCTGCCAAAGGCTGACATTGGTATTTCTGGCCCCAAAGTGGACATTGACGCCCCGGATGTGAATATTGAAGGTCCTGACGCGAAATTGAAGGGTCCCAAGTTCAAGATGCCAGAGATAAACATCAAAGCTCCCAAAATCTCCATGCCTGATGTTGACTTGGATTTGAAAGGATCCAAAGTCAAAGGAGATTTTGATGTGTGCATCCCTAAGATTGAAGGTACTTTCAAAGGCCCAGAAGGAGACCTTAAAGGTTCAGGTCTGGATTTTGAAGGCCCGGATGCCAGATTCAGTGGCCCAAATTTGAAGATGCCATCGCTGGATATATCTGCCCCTAAAGTAACTGTTCCTGATGTTGATTTGCATTTCAAGGCACCCAAAATTGGGGTTTCTGGTCCCAAGTTGGAAGGTGCTGAACTGGACCTCAAAGGGCCCAAAGTTGATTTAGAAGCTCCAAGCTTAGATGTGCACACGGAGAGCCCAGATATTAATATTGAGGGGCCAGACATTAAAATTCCCAAATTTAAGAAACCCAAATTTGGTTTTGGGGCAAAAAGCCCTAAAGCTGACTTCAAGTCACCTTCCCTGGATGTGACCGTTCCTGAGGCAGAACTGAATGTTGAGACTCCTGAAATTAGTGTTGGTGGCAAGGGCAAGAAGAGTAAGTTTAAAATGCCCAAAATTCACATGAGTGGCCCTAAAATGAAGGCCAAAAAACAGGGATTTGACTTGAATGTTCCCGGGAACGAAATTGATGCCAGTCTCAAGCCTCCTGATGTAGATGTCAACGTTGCCGGGCCAGACGCCACATTTAAAGCTGATGTGAAATCCCCCAAAACCAAGAAAACTATGTTTGGGAAAATGTACTTTCCAGATGTAGAATTTGACATTAAATCACCTAAATTTAAAGCTGAGGCCCCCCTCCCTAGCCCCAAAATGGAGGGTGAAATCCAGGCAACTGATGTGGATATTTCTTCGCCTGGGATTCATGTGGAAGGTCCCGACATCAAGCTGAAGGCTCCCAAGTTCAAGCTGCCAGGTATGGATGTCTCAGGGGGACAAACAGAGGGTGACTTGAAAGGCCCCAGGGTGCAGGCAAACTTGGACGCACCTGACATCAACATTGAAGGCCCAGATGCTAAAGTCAAAGCCCCATCGTTCGGCATTTCTGGCCCTCAGGTCTCCATCCCTGATGTGAACGTTAACTTGAAAGGACCAAAGATAAAGGGTGATGTCCCCAGTGTGGGACTGGAAGGACCAGACATAGATCTGCAAGGTCCAGAATCAAAGATCAAATTCCCCAAGTTTTCAATGCCCAAGATCGGCGTCCCTGGTGTGAAGATGGAAGGGGTAGGAGCTGAGGTTCATGCCCAGCTGCCCTCTCTCGAAGGAGGCTTGAGTGCACCTGATGTTAAGCTTGAAGGGCCGGACGTGTCTCTGAAAGGGCCAAAAGTAGACTTGCTTTCAGTGAACCTCTCTATGCCAAAAGCCTCTGGACCTGACCTTGACCTGAACTTGAAAGGACCAAGTTTGAAGGGAGACCTGGATGCCTCTGTTCCTGGTGTGAGGGTGCACTCCCCAGGGCTAGACCTCAGAGGTCAAGGTGGAAAGGTGAGGATGGAAGGAGACAGTGTGAAAGTGCCTGGGATCGACGCCACGCTAAACCTTGGCACCCCAGATGTGACCCTGAAGGGACCAACCCTGCAGGGAGACCTGGCTGCCTCTGGTGACATCAAATGCCCTAAAGTATCAGTAGGTGCTCCTGATCTAAGCTTGGAGGCCCCTCAAGGTGGCATTAAACTTCCCAAAATGAAGCTGCCCCAGTTTGGCATCTCGACTTCAGGGTCCGACTTGGACATGAACGTCAAAGGGCCACAAGTGACTGGAGAACTACAGGCCCCAGGCATCGGTGTGAACCTCGGAGGCCTGAACCTGAAAGGCCCTCAGATCTCTGGCCCTCAAATCTCAGCACCAGACATGGACTTGAACTTGGAAGGACCAAAAATAAAAGGAAGCCTCGGGGCCACTGGTGAAATGAAAGGCCCCACTGTTGGAGGAGGTCTTCCGGGCGTCAGTGTTCAAGGCCTCGAAGGAAACGTCCAGATGCCTGGAGTTAAGTCCTCTGGATGTGATGTGGAGCTGCCAGGTGTGAGTGTGAAACTCCCAACGGGGCACATTTCTGGTCCCGAAATCAAAGGCGATCTGAAAGGTTCAGGAATAGGTTTCCACGGGGCTGCTCCCGACATTAGCGTCAAAGGGCCTTCACTTAATGTGGCCTCTCCTGAGTCAGATTTCGGTGTCACCCTGAAGGGCCCGAAAATGACAGGAGGTGTGGATGTTTCAGGAGGTGTCAGCGCCCCAGCTGTCAGCCTGGGCGAAGGACACGTGAGTGTCAAAGGACCCCGGGCCTCCTCCGCTCTCAACTTGGATGCACCTAAGTTTGCTGGGGGACTTCATTTCTCCGGACCAAAGGTAGAAGGCGGTGTGAAAGGAGGCCAGGTTGGACTCCAGGGTCCTGGGCTGAGTGTGTCTGGGTCTCCAGGTCACTTGGAAAGCAGATCTGGAAAAGTAACATTCCCCAAGATGAAGATCCCCAAATTCACCTTCTCTGGCCGTGAGCTGGTTGGCAGAGAAGTGGGGGTAGATATTAACTTCCCTAAAGCGGAGGCCACTGTCCAGGCCGGGGCCGGAGAGGGGGAGTGGGAAGAGTCTGACGTAAAACTGAAGAAGTCCAAAATCAAAATGCCCAAGTTCAATTTTTCCAAACCTAAAGGGAAAGGTGGTGTCACGGGCTCCCCGGAAGCATCCATTTCAGGGTCCAAAGGCGACCTGAAGAGCTCGAAGGCCAGCCTGGGTTCTCTGGAAGGAGACGCCGAGGCCGACATGTCATCGCCCAAAGGCAAATTCTCCTTATTTAAAAGTAAGAAGCCCCGGCACCGCTCAAATTCCTTCAGCGACGAACGGGAGCTCTCAGCGCCTTCCACCCCGACAGGAACGTTGGAGTTTGAAGGTGGAGAAGTGTCACTGGAAGGCGGGAAAGTCAAAGGGAAACACGGAAAGCTGAAATTTGGTACCTTTGGTGGATTGGGGTCAAAGAGCAAAGGTCATTATGAGGTGACTGGGAGCGATGACGAGACAGGCAAGTTACAGGGAAGTGGAGTGTCCTTGGCCTCTAAGAAGTCCCGACTGTCTTCTTCTTCCAGCAATGACAGCGGGTCTAAGGTTGGCATCCAGCTTCCCGAGGTGGAGCTGGTGGTTTCCAAGAAAGAGTAGCAGGCCTCTGTGTGTGTACATATATGTATAAAAATACACCAGCCTTGGGTGTGTTTGTATATAAACTCCAGAGAGAAACACGCCGACAGCCTCAGCATAATGCAGAGATCTGGCCTCTGCCCGTGGCAAGTGCTGAAAAAGCCAACCAGCCGCCTTAGTTCCCCCGGCCCGGAGCTTTACAGATACAGGAACTAAGGGTTCCAAGTTCGTCCAGCCCATGTGCAGAGCCAACAATATTTGCCTTGAGATTTCAGTTTTTTGTTTTGTTTTGTTTTGTTTTGCATTGAATGCTGAGAGCTCCTGTTTACTAAGCAAGCTTATGTGTTTATTATCCTCATTTTTACTGAACATTGTTAGTGTCAGGGTAATGGAAACCCACTTTTTCATTGTAATGACTTCAGGGGCTTTTGTTAGTAAGGGTGGGGTGGGGTAGAAGGCAGTAGAGGGGGCCAGACCTCCATTTCTCCTAAGATTGGACCTATTCAAACAGGGAACACCCAGGGAGGGCTGAGAGGAGCCGCCAGGCAGGGCGCATGGGTGTCTTTAGGTCTCTTTAGCATTGCTTTTTTCCCCCAGGGGTGGCGGTCCTAGCCAGTTTGGTGTTCACGGTGAGACAGAATTAGAATCTATTTGCAAATTGGCCGATGTACCCCCAGCTCAACACGTTCTGTGCATTGTGGGGGAAATGTTTCCTTCATGGCCGCCACATTCCTGAGACTAGTTCTGATTTCTTTTAATAAATGTTATCGTGATTAAGAAAATTTCCCGCACTTTAATGGCAAATTAATTGAGAATGTAAGAAAATCGATGCTGTCAAAGGCAAATAAAGCTGTTTATTAACCCTGATGTCTTGTGTCTTTGCATTCTGTGTCTGTGAACCCAGCCCTGACAGTTGAGACTCCGTCCATCCAGCGGATTTGCGGGTTTCATTAATGGGTAATTGGGGGTGGGGGCGGGGGGGCCAGTCTTTGCGGCCTGATTCTCACGGTGAGGCTGGCTGCACCATTGCTGAGAAATCAAGAGAGCCTTGGCACCCTGGCAGCCCGGGCCGCAGGACCCACCCACCAACTTTGCATCCTCCGATAGGAAACACAATTCAGAAATGGTTTTGAATGGGCAAGAGGATACAGATATGAATGGAAAACAAGACCTACTGGAGTGGTAGAAAGAGCTCGATCTGGCTCTGAGTTACAGGCATGCCATCTATTTCTGACTTGGCTGCGGGGTTGCTGGGTGGCCTCAAGTTACCTGCCCTGTCTGGGCCTCAGATTTCTCTTTTTTGAAATAAGGGTACTGATCTCGTAATAGAGGTCTTTGGGGTTCCTGCTAGTCCTACTGAATTTATGAAAAACCTCTTGTGACCAGAGTCCTCTTTTGATTTTCAGCTCTGCAGACAATACGTGGTGGTGGTGGTGGCGGGGGAGGCTTCTAGAAACTGGCGTCTAATGTTGGTCATTGCTGAGCAGAGGGCCGTGCTTTCTTATACCAAAAACAATTGGAGCAAGCTCCTCCCCTCACCTCTCCCCAGAGCTGCCGCCTTCCTGCCCATGGAGACGGCTCTGCGCCTCTCCCAGCAGCCCAGATCACCCCAGATCACAGATAACAGCTCCCACCCCATCTCATCCGGTCCAGTGTCAGCAGGTTTGGGCACATGGCAGTGGGGTCTGCCCAGGGGGCGCTCCACCTGCCCTGGCTTGGCTTTCACACTGACTGTCAGCTTCATCCATTTGCACCTCAGCCAGCAGAGCCAGCGTCCCTGGAGGCTCTGGAACTCAAGAGCGGCTCTTGGAAAGGGGAAACAAGGGAGGTGCTGGAAACCCTGCTGCTTTTCTTAAAATGACCGACCTACCGTCATCGCTTTTGTAAATTAGGCAAGACACTTAACCCCTTTGAGCCTTCGCTTCTTCCCCCATAAAATGGGGACACGTATCCATAGGGCCAAAGAGTCTGCCCGGGTATTTGGGTTGTCGACTGTGCAAGGACACCACATTGAAGGGGGTAACATCCATATCACAGCCATAGGTTTGTTTATTGGGAGCACGAGGGTGGGTGTGGGGTCCTAGAGAGGCAGGTGCACACCCCTCCATGCACACTCAAGAGCGAGAGGATGCACGTGCCCACCGGCACACACGCCTGCACGCAGCTGCCTTCCATGCTAACCTCTCTGGGCGCCCTCCCAGTGCTTCTTTCACTCTTCCAGAGCTCAGAGCCCAATCCCGAATCCTTCCTCTGGCCCTGATGAGGGGGCTCCACGTTATTCTCCAAAGTCCTGCAGGGCCCAGATGCGAGAGGTCTTACACTTTGAGGTCTCCGGCGGGAGTAGCATCAGGAGACCGGGAAGGGGCTGGGCTGGGCTCCTGCTGGTCCTTCCTCGGAGTTGCGAGAGCTGTCCGAGGGCCGGACTGTAGCCTCACCTTGTACCCTGCCTTTGGCAGCGCGACAGTGTGTGGGAATTGGTGTGGTTAAGGGGACATTTCAAAAATGGAGTGACTTTGAAAAGCACCACCCGCTCACAGATGGCAGTAAATATTTTTCATTCACACAAACTCATTTCTAAATCTGTCAGGGTCCCTAGAGGAAACAAAATTCCACTGGAAGATAGTTAAAGCACAGAGGCTTTGAAAAAGGTACTGTCCAAGGAAGAGTGGGCGGGGACAGTGGAGCCGGCGAGGGGGGATGGGAACAGGGACAGCAGGAAGCTGGTACCACCCAGGGGCCTGAAGGGGCCCGGGGAGGAAATGGTGTTCCTGGCATCCCGCGTGAGCTGGAGGCAGGGCAGGGACTGCCGGCCGGAGCTGTAGCCACGAAGGACCGCAGCATCTGCCAGAAACTGCCAGCCGTGGGAAAACAGGAAGAAGTGATCTTTCCTCCTGCTGGTGCCTCTCCCTGGAGGGCAAGGGAGTCTAGGTGTTACGAGTGAAGGGATCAGCCCCCGGGAGCCGGGAGAAGGACTCCGAAGGTGGAGACGCAGGTAGAGAATAGAGAGCGCAATACGCTAATCTTCTCGTTTTTCTGCTAGGCAAGTTTGAATTTCTGTATATTGAGATTTCTTTTTCTTCTTCTTTAAGATTTTATTTATTTCAGACAGAGAGAGAGAGAGAGAGAGAGAGGGAGTGTGTGCACGTGGAGGGGAGGGCCGATGGAGAAGCAGACTCCCCGCTGAGCAGGGAGCCCCACACGGGGCTCGATCCCAGGACCCCGGGATCATATCTGAGCTGAAGGCAGACGCTTAACTGACTGAGCCGCCCAGGCGCCCAGTACATTGAGATTTCTTAAAATAGCCCCCATGATGTGGGATGTATTTAAGGTGTGATCATAAAATGACAATTTTTGTTTTAAACAAACAGGTTTGGGAGGTGCTGCTATGAAAATTCTGTTAAGAATATTTTGTTTCCTCTCTTTTGAAATGGCTCTCAATACATCACCTATACGTTAAAAAATTCTTTTTTTTTTTCTCTTGGGGAAACACAAATCTTCCTGTCTTGAATTTTTTGCAAATAGCCAAAAGGCCTGGAATATACTCCAGGGTTCCCAGGACAGTACCCTGAAAGGAGCACTGGCCTGGGAGGAGTCAATGGGATTAGCCATGATCTTGGATCCTGTCTGAGCCTCAGTTTCCTCATTTGTAACATGGATCAGGCATGCGTTCTCGAAGGCTGTTACCAGTTCCAAATAACTTGTGATTCTTTCAGAAGTAAAGCTGGTTGATTAGGCAGATGGGACCGGGTTGGGTCAAGAACGAAGTGTGATTACAATGTAGTACAACTAATTTTCCTGTGTGGAGGCTAAGTTGGGTCAAATGTTTTGAGCAATGGCAGCATTATTGAACTACTGCTATGTCTCCAGCGTTCCAAAGCCAAAGCGCAGTGCCCACTGGGACTTTGCAGATCGCTGGCACGTCCCGCCTCAGCTCCACTAAGCACTTTAGCTGTGACACACTTAGTATCTGGGAGATGCAGCTGGGCATGTCCGATGTTCCTTTATTTAATTATTTAATTGATTTTAAAAAAAAAGATTTTTAAAAAGATTTTTCTTGGGGCGCCTGGGTGGCTCCGTTGGTTAAGCGACTGCCTTCGGCTCAGGTCACGATCCTGGAGTCCCGGGATCGAGTCCCGCATCGGGCTCCCTGCTCGGCAGGGAGTCTGTCTCTCCCTCTGACCCTCTTCCCTCTTGTGCTCTCTATCTCTCATTCTCTCTATCTCAAATAAATAAATAAAATCTTTATAAAAAAAAAAAGAGTGTACTTTTCTTCTCTTTTTTATTCCCTCCTTTTTTTCCTTCTCTCTCTCTTTATTTAAAAGTGTTTTTATTGTGAATTTAAACCTACAGAGATGTTGCAAGAATAATACAATGAATAATCCATATGCCTTTCATGTAGATTTACCAATTTTACCTCATTTGCTTTAATCTCTCTCTATAGGTTATAATTATCATTATTTTTGCCGAATCATTAGAGGGTCAACCGCAGGTCACCAGGACCCTCTACTCCTAAATACTTTAGCATGTATGGATGTTGTCCTCTATAACCGCAACACAGCCATCAAATTCAGAAACCTTAACATTGGCAAAATACTATCATCTGACATACAGTCCATTTTTAAATTTTATTAATCGCCCAATGATTGCCTTTTGGCGAGGTCTTCTTTCCCATTTTGGCCTCGATCCCTGCCCACGATCCCACATGACCTTTAGTTCTCATGGTCGCTTCCATCTGGACTCTTCCATCTGGAACCGTTCCTCAGCTCTTTGTTGTCATTCGTGACATTGGTAGTTTTTTAAATGTGCGGGGCCGGTCGTTTTGCAGAACACGTCGCCTGGTCTGGGTTTGTCTGATGATGTGTTTGTTTTCCTCTTGGTGAGATTTAGGTTATGCATTTGGGGCAGGGAAGAGCATAGCTGTGGATGGGGTCACTTCTCGGGACCCCCGTGACTTCGAGCCCTGGATTAGGGAGGAGATTGCCAAGTTTCTCCATTGTAACAGTGCCATACTTTCCCTCTGGCATTAACAAGTAAACCCAAGTTTTCAAGAGAGAAGTCCAAGTTTGGGCAAGTTTATTTCGCAAGCACACAAGGGCTTGGTGGCCTGCGTGCCTCAGCCTTGGCGTCTTCTCCGGCTAGGGTTCTGGAAGATGGAGTTCTGGTTTGGGGCTTTGCAGCACAGAGTAGCTCTCTGTCTCTCCTCACGAGGACAAAGAATTCAACGCATGCATGCTTGCCATATGCCCGAGAATGCCATGTGCTGTTTACCAGCCTCTGAATAGCCCCGCGGTGGCCAGCAGCCGGGAGCTGCAAGTGTTTCTTAAGGCTGAGTGCTCCCAGCAGAGGCGCTGCCAGGGGCCACAGGGAATGTGTGGGGAACATTCTGCTGAGGAGCGTGGTTTTTGTTCCCTTTAAAAACCTCTGTTATTTTCCACCGCGAGCTTGAGGCCTGGCCTTCATGGAAAAGCTTCCCAACCGTGGGGCCAAGGATTGGGAAGGGTTAAGAAAGAAAAGACCCTCTCTTTGGACAGGGCATTCTGGTCTACAAGGTGCTTTATCTCCTGAGATCACAGGCTGGGCTCTCAGCTCTCCCGGGGAGAAGGTGGCCTCCAGGAAGGGGAGGTTAGGGGAGGTGAAGCCGTTGGTTGGTCTCAACTCACAGAGCTGGGAAGAGGTGACTCTTCTAGGTCAAGCCAAACCTTCTGATTTAAAAATTCTTTTTTTTTTTTCTTTTCCATGATGCCATCGCTGTTTCCCCGAGGAAGCTGGGGTTCTTTTTCTGGGGAGGTTTTAGGAAATGGAAGAGGCCTTTTGAAATGTGTAGGGCCTTGACTTTCCAACAACAGCCCTGAAGTAGTTATTAAATATGTATGTGCAGAGCTTCTTTCTTCAATGAGTCTATTGTGCAGGAGGTGAATAATAATGATAAAATAATAATACCTATTAGCTTTTCCACTTTGTAGCTGTATGATCTCGGGCAAGTTATTGAACCCCTCTTATGCCTCACTTTCCTTATCTCTAAAACAGGGATGATACGGTACCTCTTTCCGAGTGGTGTTGTGAGGATGACGTGAGTTAATACCTATCATGTGTTCGGCACACGGTAAAAACTATAAGCACTTAGTGATTACTCTTGAATACTTTGCGTGAGGTATTCTGTACGTATTGTACATGCTTTAGCTCTTTTGACTTCTACAACAACCCCATGAAGTGGGTATTCTTTTTCTTACTTACAGACAAATCGAAGCTCAGAGAGGTTAAGCAATATGCTCAGGGTCACACAGCTGGTATATGGCACAATTCAAACTGGGCCGGGTCTGACTGAGAAGCCCATGCTTTAAATACTCACGGCATTCTGCTCGCTCTGATAACGGGGCCGACTGTGTTAGTAACATATAACTGTTTCCAGGTTTGGAGAGGAGTGTGGGGGCGCACATTCCAGGCAGAGGGAACAGCAGGAGTAAGGTGTGGAAGTGAAGGGTGTGGGGAGGTTCAGCAAAGCGGGGTAGGGTGGGGTCTGGGGAGGAGAAGAGCTAAGAACTTAGAATGACCCTTGAGAGCACGCAGGCAGCCAGCCTGGTTTCTAGTCCTGCTCAGAAAGGAAAGGAAAAGGCGCTTATCAACTTGCCCATTTTGGAGGTAGGAGGTGGACTCCAGGCCTCAAGCAAAGTGAACCCTTGGCCCAGGTTCAGCCTCCCCGGCTGCTGCCAGCCCCTCTTGCTCAGTGTTGCCCCGGGTCTTTTCCTCTCCCGGGTCTTCACTCTTCCAGAACGAGGATCAACAAGGGAGCAACTGTAATCAAAGCATTCGCATTATAATTAGCCCCACCCCCTGTCCCTGACCGCCGGCCAGGCAGCCTGGAAGCCTCCGCCCTGGCTCCAGCTAGTGGCCTTGCCGCCCCACAGCTGTGGGAATTTGGCCCAGGCCTGCGCGCATCCCTGGAGCCAGCGGGGGCCCTGTGGGGCTGAGCTCCCTCTCGGGCGGGGGTGGGGGGGGGTGGCTGGCATTGTGAGGGCGCGGTTCAGAGAAGAGTTTGGGGGCAGAACAGAGTAGTTCTCAACTGTGGAGAGAGCGTCTCCTTTTTTCTTTGGCCTACTGGCCCTGATGGCTCCAGGGCTGTGGCCAACTAGCACCTGGGACTTGCTAACAATCCACGCCATGAGCGTGAGGTCTCCTGGTTGCCTGGGAGGATGCCCAAGGCGAAGGAGCTGAGGCCTCCACCGACTGGAACGGCTGGCCCTTTATTCTGGAGATTATGGGGAGCATGAGGGAAGAAGGAAGCAGATAGAAATCCATAGGGAAAGCAGAAGAGCAGGGTGCTGGCGGGCTGGAGTGAGAGGGCAGCCCTGGAGAAGCAAAGTGCTAGGGAGAGAGAGGGAGGGGGGAAGCCTGGAATGAGCAGCTGGGAGCATGAAAGCTGCAAGGGAGGGAGGCAAGCAGAGAGGACCCACAGGGAGCAGACGCAGGGCAAAGGGCTCTGGGGGCACTTTAGCCCCGCTCCCCTATCTCCGTAAGTCCCTCCTGGCACCCCAAAAGAGCTTGTAACCTAAGTAAAGCAGCATGCTTGCCACGTCTATTTGCCCCCAAACTCCAGCCAAAACTCTGGTTTTTGCTTTAGCCCAAAACCAGATGACACCCTGAAGCCCCCCATACTGTAATCTTGGGGCCGCCAGTGTCCAGGGAGTATAAGAGCCTCCCAAAGAGACTCTCGGTCCCAGAGGAGTAGGAGGGAAAGCAGAGGGGCGAGGGAAACCAGAGGAGAAAACAGTCACTAGGGACCCCCTGCCACCACACCCCGTTCCATAGATCTGCTGATGGCCAGGCCGTCCTGGGGTCCCGGGACCCTTTGCCGGGCTGGTTCTTACCCACCTCTGGGCTGCTCTGAGCTATGCGCCCTGCGGTGGCCTGCTGGGACTGGGAGAAGGGTGCCGCTGGTAGGAGACGGGGGGAAGAAGACCCTGGGGGGCTGTGAGGAAGTTGCTGGAGGCCAAGTCCAGACCTCCCAGTGGCTGCTGGGAGAGCTAGCTAGCCTCCTGACCTCAGTGGGCCCCTAAGCTCCAAACAGTGCAGGGACCTAGCTCTTCCCTTAGGCCAGACTTTCCTCAGCCCACAGCTTTGTACTCGGAGAAAGTGCTGTGCCGTACATGTTAATACTTCGGGATATTTACATTAAGAAAAAAAGGGCTTTTGGGTCCCAGGGATGGACCCGTGGCTGGCCAGCTCAGGGTATTTGGGGACAGGAGAGCCTTTTAGCAAAGCCACACACACAGCGGGGGGCGTTACCTGTCTTGCTTTTCCCTCTGGGGCCCTGACCCAACCCTGGGCTGTAATGGGGCATTTGACCCCTGCCTGTCTTGAGGCCCCTACTCTGGCCTAGGTGAGAAGGAAGGCTTTGGGAGGCCTTTCCAGCCAGTGCCCTGTGGCGGGGGTTCTGTGTCCGCCGTCTCCCGTGGCCAGGCAGCGGGGAGGGCTGGAATGTGAACAGGCAGGACAGACTAATGACGGGGCATTTTCTACTCCTAACAGTGCAAGTTCAGCTCACAACTTGAATTTCAAGTGGGCCCTTCAGGCAGATTAGGGAGGTCAAGTGAGAGTGTGGAGGCAGCCATTGTGGATTGTCTAAATTCCTAGAAAATAAATTCTAGGAATTTCACCGCGGGAGGGAGGAGTAGCAGGTGAGCCTACTCAGTGTCATGCGTAGCAGGGGTTAGAGCTGGTAGTCCAGGAGGCCTGGTCGGAGGAGGTGACTTTTTGCTCTTCTTTCTCTATTTGAACACCCTGTATTTCCAAAAATGACTTGTCTTTCCAATCAGATCTGAGAGACAAATTCATACTTTTAGCCAAGGCCTTTTTGGGGGGGGGGCAAAAAATTATTTTTTCACTGAGCTGCCGTCCTCCTATGGAAGAGAACCACTCCCTCTAAATACCACTTTTGGTGACTGCCCTTTGTTTGAAGTCATTATTGTCCCTAGAAATGGGAAATTACACATGACTGTTTATCAGAAGGAAATAAACACCTTGGATTAGTAGGGTTCTTGCCACTGGATGGTGGATCCAGACCTTGCCAGCGAGCTGGGTGAGAACATGCACAGTGCGTCCTGCACACATTCACTTTCGGTGTTTGACGATTTCTAAAGGGGAAATGGTTGGTTCCTGTGTGTCTCACGAAACCTGCCTGCCCTGTTCTCGTTACGTCATCCTGGAGAACCTTCGATAGGGCTTTTCTGGGTCAAGAGCAAGTACAGGAAAAAACACGCGGAGTAGGGCGTGTCACCGGCTTACTCTATTGGGACATGGATTGGGCTCTTGTTGTTCTTTATTCATGGGCATTTGATGAGCTCTTACTAAATGAGAGTGAAAAGTGGAACTGGAATGTTTTACTAAGACAGCCTGAGCCACGTGTAGGTTCATGCAGGGAAGAGAAGGTCTTGGAGATGGCTCTGAGCTCTGTGTGTTCCAGCCCAAACCCCGGGGAATGCTTGTCCTTAGTTTTGACTCTGGCCATAGTCAACCTCTGCACCCTCAAGTTGGCCTCTGAGCCACACTCAGCTCTTTCCAGCGCTCTTCACCATACCCTGCCGTCTCCAGCCCCCTGGCTTTTAAGCAGGCTTCTCTTCTTCATCCTTTGGATTTCGGTTTAGGGGGGCATTTCCTCCCAGAATAAATCTTCCCTGCCACCCCTCCCCCCTTCCACCAACCCTCTGGGTGTTCATGCTGCTTTCCGTACCTTCCCGTTCTCAGCACTATTCCTACTAAAGCAGGAATGACTAGTTGCTGGTCTGTCTGCCGCCGCCATCAGACTATCAGCTCTGTGAGGGAAGGATGCAGCCTGCTTGTTCCCCATCACAGCCCTGGCGGTAACCCAACCCAACCCAACCCAACCCAGAAAACCAACAAAAGAAACACCCACAAGAACTGTTTCCCTAATGTCATGGCTAAGGTTCTGCAGGTCAGCGGCTCTCCTTGAGCTGTCGAGGAGTCTGATTTAACAAGGGTGGAAAGCAGGGAACATTCGGCACACTTCGCCAGCATGCAGGCCTGCCTTGGTGGGGTGGAAAAGAAGGTAAAAGAAAAGCCTGGGGACCCAGAAGGTGACCTGGTGGCTGCGGAGGGCAGAGGAGAGCTGAGTGGGGGTTTGGAGGGAGAGGAGGGGCGGTTGGAGATGGCCCCCACCAGAACTTCGGGGGAGAGCGCATGGCCATGAACTGAAGCTGGGGAGGGGGGAGGGAGAGAGAGCTGGGTTGAGGAGGAGGAGGGGCTCCCCAAATCTGATCAGTTTGCTCCATAACCGGTGGCTGGCCTCTGAAATGTCACTCATGGCTCAAGTCTGGAAATTGTGACTTCGGATTTTTCTATTCCCAATTGATTATTTTTGTGTTTTTTTTTATTTTTTAAAGATTTTTATTTATTTATTTGAGAGAGCGAGAATGACAGAGAGAGAGAGAGCACATGAGAGGGGGGAGGGTCGGAGGGAGAAGCAGACTCCCCGCTGAGCAGGGAGCCCGATGCGGGACTCGATCCTGGGACTCCAGGACCATGACCTGAGCCGAAGGCAGTCGCTTAACTGACTGAGCCACCCAGGCGCCCCGATTATTTTTGTTTTTATTACTTTAAAACGTGTGTCTTTCTGATGAGATGTTGAGTGCCCCGGCCAGGCTTTGTTTTATGAAGCGAGTAATATGAAGAAAGGGCCTTCTTTTGCTCCGCCTCCTCTTGGCCCTCCCTCCCTTCCTTCCTAGTGAAATTCTTGACCGGAAAGCCCAGCCAGGATGTGGAGAATTGTGTTTTCCACCTGAAGCAAGGTGGGGCTGGCCGGCTCTTTGTTGCGGCATGCTGCCCAAACCCCACCGGGCAGTTGTCCTCTTTGAGCGGGACAAACACAGCAGGCCCCGTGGTCATGGCCCCGTGGCCAGTGCAGCCCACTGCAGAATGAGACAAAGCCCTTGTGTACTTTGCTGGGAAGCACTTGGCTGTGACATACAGGCGCGTGAGCGCAGGAGAGCATTTGTGGTGTCCCAACACAGAGCACTCACAGCACGCCTTTCAGAGCGTTTCCAAGCCTCCTGCAAGGACAGCCAGGCTGGGGTGTGGTAAAGGTGTTTATTTTTCTCAGGTTTGGGCAAAGTCCTTCTAGAAAGTAGATTTTGAGGCATTGAGAGCAGAGCTCCTGGGGAAGTGGGTGAGGAATCGTGTGTTTGAATCTGGGGCAGCGTGTTTGAGCAAAGTCCATTTGTCAAGAAAGAAATAGCATTCACAGCCCAACACAGACTTGTCCACTGGCAGCTGACCCGTCTGTCTGTGCTGGTTCCTTATCTACAGACAGCAAGGGCCCCGAGGGAGGAAGGACTTCCTAGTTGAGGGAGAGATGATAAGTGAATTGGTGGGTCCGGAATCCCCCAGTTGGTTCTCTTAATTCAAAGTGGAAATGAAGCAGAGGGTGGTTCTTTTTTTAAAAAATATTCTAGGGCGCCTGGGTGGCTCAGCTGGTTAAGCGACTGCCTTCGGCTCAGGTCGTGATCCTGGAGTCCCGGGATCGAGTCCCACATCGGGCTCCCTGCTCAGCAGGGCGTCTGCTTCTCCCTCTGACCCTCTTCCCTCTCGTGCTCTCTGTCTCTCATTCTCTCTCAAATAAATAAAAAAAAATAAAATAAAAAAGATTCTAAAAAAGATTTTATTTATTTATTTATTTGAGAGCGAGAGCGCACAAGCAGTGGGGGAGGGGCAGAGGGAGAGGGAGCAGTAGACTCCCCACTGAGCAGAGAGCCCAATGTGGGGCTCTATCCCAGGACCCCAGATCATGACCTGAGCCGAAGGCAGATGCTGAACCGACTGAGCCACCCAGGCATCTCGAGGAGGTAGTTCTTTACCCTGATATCCAGTATCCAGTACTGAGCAGTTTGAAACCCACTTGGATTTTACAAATCATCAGAGCTATGCAAAGCTGCTCACCACGCCCTATGTCGGGCTCTATGAGGGACTGCACGTAGGTTTGGGAGAAACAGGTTGAAACCTGACTTTGATCCTTAACAAAGCCAGTCTTCCCTAGCAAACATGAATCTCCTGGCCAATCAGATTACCTCAGGCTTCCAGCGCCCATGTGAACTGGCTTGACAGGGAAGCTGGCGGGGGGCCGGGGTTCAGGTAGGGCAGCCCAGTGCCTGTAAGGTGTGATTTGAAGCCCTCAGGAAAGACCCACCTTAGCCTGAAATCTCTCCCCACTGGCTCATCAAGGATGTCTGCAATTTCACTATTATTGAGTCATTCCTTTGCATTTACCATGGGCTTTCTCCTGGCCATCCCTCTGAAATGCAGGTTGAGGGCGCCTGGGTGGCTCAGTTGGTTAAGCGACTGCCTTCGGCTCAGGTCATGATCCTGGAGTCCCCGGATCGAGTCCCGCATCGGGCTCCCTGCTCAGCAGTGAGTCTGCTTCTCCCTTGGACCCTCCCCCCCTCATGCTCTCTCTCTCTCATTCTCTCTCTCTCAAATAAATAAATAAATAAATCTTAAAAAAAATGAAATGCAGGTTGGTCTGGGGTATGAAGGATTCCCTTAACCTTCTCACCTTGAATTCTATTTTTTTTAAATTTTGTTTTATTATGTTATGTTAATCACCATACATTACAACATTAGTTTTTGAGGTAGTGTTCCATGATTCATTGTTTGCGTATAACACCCAGTGCTCCATTCAATACGTGCCCTCTTTAATACCTATCACCAGGCTAACCCATCCCCCCCACCCCCCCTAGAACCCTCAGTTTGTTTCTCAGAGTCCATCGTCTCTCATGGTTCATCTCCCTCTCTGATTTCACCCCCTTCATTTTTCCCTTCCCACTATCTTCTTTTCCTTCTTCTTCTTCTTCTTCTTCTTCTTCTTCTTCTTCTTCTTCTTCT